AGTGCTAAGGCCCATGACTGAAGTCCACCGAGCCAGCAGTACTGATGGCCTGGGAGTTCTGCAGGGACTAGGCATTTGTGAATACTCCCTGGGCACATAGGGGACTATCTATCTTGACTCTGTGATGGCAGCAAGCATTTGTAGATTCAGTCTATGTGAAATTTGGGTTGCATCAATATGCCATTTTGAAGCTCAACTGATGCGTGATGAAAATAACCACTGTACCAGATATTTGACATTAAAATTTTTGCAACACTCCATCTCCTTCTTCCGTGAGGCAGTGCCCCCTCTAGGGAGCTCCACTTTCCTGTCTCCTGACTTTAAGCTACCCTCAACCCCTCCTTAATCTGCTTCCCACCCTGTCTGTGTCCCAGGAAGTAGTTTGGCCACTGGGGACCACTAGCAGGAGATGTGGGACAGGGAGGAGTATAAGGTTTGAACAGTTTCTTCAGGCAAGATTCATCCACATGGGGGTGTTCTCCGGGAATTTGGAGTTGAATGCTCCAGCTTGAGCACTGTGAATGGAGTTAATAGTCTACTCCAGGGGTCAGCAAACTACACCGATCAGTCACATCTAGCCCACTGTATGTTTTTGTATGTGTTAATCTCTTAGTGTTAGTTGCTCAATTGTGTCCAGCTCTTTGCAACTCCATGGACTGTAACCTGCCAGTCTCTTCTGTCCATGGAATTCTCCAGGCAAGAATGCTGGACTGGGTAGCCTTTCCCTTCTCCAGATGATCTTCTGAGCCCAGGGACTGAACCCAGGTCTCCCACATTGCAGGCAGATTCTTTACCATCTGAACCATGAGGGAAGTATATGACCATGATGCTAAGGATGACTTTTACATTTTAAAATAGTTGAAAAATTCAAAACAAGAATATTTTGTTATATGTAAAAATTCTATGAAATTCAAATTAAGATATCTGCAGGTAAAGAATCATTGAAACACAGCTATGCTTATTTGATTGTGTTGTCTATAGCTGCTTTTACACTACAAAGGCAGAATTGAGTAGTTTCAACAGGCAGCCTTTTGCCTTCAAAGCCTGAAGTATTTACTGTCTGGTCTTGCCCAATAGTCTTGATCAATGTGAAACTATGGCAACTCAGTAAAGACAAGACTACCAGGGGCTCAGATTTAAAAGGAATGAGGATCAGGTAATCCTACCGGGCAATAAACCGCAACCAGAGTGTTCTTAGAGGCCAAGGGAACATGGATTAGCTGTGGAAGTGGGCCACTGTGATTACTGACTTAGGTCTCCATCTATTAAAGCTTGGATAGTAGCAGCTAAATTTTATGTTAATGCCACCCCCCCCCACACTTTTCTTCTTTCTCTTGTACTACCTTACATGAAGAACACTTGTGGCTAAATTTTAGGTTTCAGTAGAGTTTGAATGAATTGACATCACCCCGCAACAATATAGGGGAGTTGGACTTTGGTTGTTTCCTGTACTGAATACATGAACTTTTGAACTTTTGACCCAGAAGAATGGCAAGAGTGGATGTTAGGGGGTAAAAAGAGTGACTCTTTCCAGATATCTTTGCTTCTTCAGATCTTTTTGCCACCCTGCCCTGCTCTGCTCTGAGCTCCCAGAGGCTGACCTCCCTCAACTACATCAATGAGCCTGCTGCTCTCTGAGCTCTGGTTGAGTGTGCCTGGTGTTGCAGAAGGCACACTTTCGTACACGTGGGAGAAGGAGAGAGAGAGCAAGAGAGGAGAGTGAGGTTGGAGTATTTATTTTTCTATACCCCTCTCTGCTGAATCACTTGGGCTGATGGACTGTGTTCCTCTCCCTAAGGTCAGAGGCCCTGCAGATGGCCCTCCATCGCTCTGAGAATCTTCTGGGTTTCAGTAGCCACTCTCTTCCTCTGCCTGTTCAGGTCTATCATGGTACCACGCCATGACAAACAGAATGCTGAACCATTCCTGTGGTTTCCCTATATCCTCCCCTCCTCTTTGCAAATAGGCTCTTTAGTAAATTCTTAAATCTCCCAGTTCCTACCAAGACCCTTTACTGATACTATGGGCTTGGCTAGTTGGTTGCTCTGCCCAGGATTTTGAAAATGGAGCAAATTATGCACGGTGGGGGATTGATTTGTCTCAGCCACGGTGGTGTCTAAGGGGGGCAGCAGTTGCAGCTAGTGTCAGTGCTGTCCTGCTGTAGTGGCCACAGCATCCTGGCCAGATCATTTCCCATGTTGGGCCCTTGGGGAAGCCCTTGGTTTTGACTTGTTTTCCAACCCCAGCCTCTAGTTTCCTAATTGTGAGACTTCAATAGAGTTCTAAGAAATTCTTTTAAAACAATTCATAGAGCCAAAGGTGTTTCCAGTGTTTACAACCAAGAACGCTGACTGATACAGCCATTCAAGCAAATGTTTGCTCTCTGGTCCAAAGATCTACCTTTTAACCAAATTGAAAGTGTGTAGAGCTCTTTCAAGGAGTGGATGGAGTTGGCATTTATCTTTTCTGCTGTTTGCCTTTGTCATTTCTTTTTATTTTTACTTGGAATGTGGACTGATGTTGGAGGTACAGGTGCCATTTTGTAACCATGAGCTAATCACAAGGAAAAGGCCAAGATATTATACAGGTCTCAGCCCAGATGTCTTGAGCCTCTGGGCCAATGCCAACAACAGCCTCTTCTAAGTTTCTTACCAGAGAAGAAAGAAAAAGCCTGCTTGCTCATTGTTTCTCAGATTACTATTAGCAGCAAAAATTCCTTTAGTATTATTTCTTTTCATCTTTATAGCACCTCTCCCTGAGATGGTGTTATCTCTGTTTAACAGATGAGGGAACAAGCTCAGAGTAATGACTAGTCCAAATGCATACAGCTAGTACCGAGAAGGAAAGAAAAGCTGAGAATAATTACTCATGTATACATTTGGGCCCTTTTATTCAATCATTCATTCACTCATTCATTCAACAGACCTTTTCTCATGTTCTCATCTTGTGCCAGATGCGGTGCAACACTTGAGATGCAAATGGATACAACAGAATCCCTGACATTGAGGCCCACTAAAGTAGTCCAAGCAAGAGATGATGGGAAGTTGGATAAGGAAGATGAAGAGGGGTGGGCAGATTGAAGAAACATTTAGGAGGGAGAATCAGTAGGACTTGGTGATGGATGGACAGGGGTTCAAGGGAAGGGAAGCTACTTAGAACGGCTCTTAGGATTCTGGCTTTCTGGCTTAAATACCTGGGTGAAATGTGTGGTCCTTACTGGGACAGAGAATGTCCAAGGAGTGGTGGGAGGAGTGGTGGGAGGCATGTGGGAGAGAGCCAGAGGGCAGGGGACGGTGAGCAGAAGGAATTTCTAAGGCAGGCAGGGCAGTTCTGGGTAAGCACAAACACTGGGGTGTCCTGGGGATGATGATGGAGATGCAGCAGAGGTGAAGATCAAGATCAGCCTGGCAGCCTTATTATTAAATCTTTTGGAAAATTTTGAAAACTTTTTGAATTTTTGAAAATTTTCTTTTTTCCTTATTGAAAAAAATTTTTGTTGTTGAGTTATAATATACATACCATACAATTCACTTCCTTTACTTGCACAATTCAATGATTTTTGGTATATTTACAGAGTTGTGTAGCTATCACCACAGGCATGGAGTTTTTATTTTTTATGTTTTTGGTCATGCAGCATGTGGGGATCTTAGTTCCCTGACCAGGGATTGAACCTGTGCCCCCTGCAGGGGAAGCATGGTGTCAAACACTGGATCACCAGGAAAGTCCTGAGTATTAACTATGATGGCACCTTAACTCTTCAACTCCTACAGGGCCGCTAGTCTAACCGAAATCCCGGCAAAGTTGGCTGTGATTTCACACTGGGCCCTCACAGAGGGCACGAGTGGGGTCCCCTCCCTCTCCCCAGCCATTTCCTAGGCTCAGATTCAGCATTTAGTCAATCTCCTCATTAGGAGGAGTAGTTCTATGGGTTTGCAGGACCAATTGATACATGTAAGTCAGCCAACCCCGGGAGTTCCTTCGGTAACGAGTACTTAAACCCACCACTAGCCACCATTAGGACGGTGCTTACTGCCTAACGATCACCAGCGCCAAGGCCTGGTGGGGCTGGACAGATGGAGAGTGAGGAGGATCTTCTGCCATGAAGAGGCACTCCAGCGCCTTCTTCAGACACTCCAGGATGAAGGCTGCTCTGCCTTCAGGCACAGGCTTGTCACAGCTCACTGGCTTGTCTTAGTTAGAATAGGTAGGAATCTATGTTTGATGAGTCTACTGAAGGAAGGAAGGAAATTCTATGAGAATCTGACGTTCCTGCTTCTTTCTAATGGGCTTCCCTCGCGGCTCAGAGGGTAAAGTGTCTGCCTGCAATGTGGGAGACCCGGGTTCCATCCCTGGGTCGGGAAGATCCCCTGGAGAAGGAAATGGCCACCCACTCCTGTACTCTTGCCAGGAAAATTCCAAGGATGGAGGAGCCTGGGAGGCTACAGTCCATGGGGTTGCTGAGCAACTTCATTCATTTTTCTTTTTAATGGGTGGGACCTAAGGGTGTGTGTGTTTAAGGGAATCTGTTCTCTGCTCTGAGGGGCCTGGGATTTAGGGTTAGATATCCCAGTTTGTATAATATAAATTTCTCCAGCCTCCATCAGCCTGTGGGTATCAATGAGGTGAGTCAGATTTCACTGTCTTGTGCCGGCACTCCCTCCCACCCCCACCCCCCACCTGCTGCTGCTGCCGCTAAGTCGCTTCAGTCGTGTCCGACTCTGTGCGACGCCATAGACGGCAGCCCACCAGGCTCTGGGATTCTCCAGGCAAGAACACTGGAGTGGGCTGCCATTTCCTTCTCCAATGCAGGAAAGTGAAAAGTGAAAGTGAAGTCGCTCAGTCGTGTCCGACTCTTCGCGACCCCACGGGCTGCAGCCCACCAGGCTCCTCCGTCCATGGGATTTTCCAGGCAAGAGTACTGGAGCGGGGTGCCTGTGCCTTCTCCGACCCCACCTTAGCCTCCTATAAAAAGATCTCAGTTTCCGGAGAATCCCCCGCTGTTACCGCTGCTTCTGGACCGGCATGCAGTTGTTTCGCCGAGTCCCATGTTCTCCTCTAGGGGGCGCTGCTGCTCCACTGGGCATGGCCAGCCCCTGCAGACGCCACAGCTGTTCCGTAGGTGCTGGAAACTTCAGGCGCTGCAGCCTCTCGCTCTGTACTCCCGGGCGGTCTGTCGAGCTCTGCTCTGGTCTGCCGGGCCCAGCAGAGGCCACCATGCGCCCTCATGGCCTCACAGGGCACTTTCATCGCTGTCATCTTTCAAGGGACACAGCCTGAGTGCCAAAGCTGAAGGCTGGTCTGTAGTGAAGGTGGAGAGAAAAGGAGAAAGCCTCTTCATCCTTTCTGCTGCCCTGTCTTGGAAACATCTCCAAATTCTGCAGAGTTTGATGAAGCAGTCCTTGCAGTCTTTACTTAGGTATCTTATTGTTCAGCACATATTTACTTCCTTCTTCCAAACCTCTGTGAGGAGTGTGTACTTCCCAACCATTCATGTTGGGCTTGACCATGTAACATGCTTTTTGCATAAAGGGATGTTAGCACATATACAACGAGGAAGGGCTTGAAGTGTGCCTGTGCATTTGGACTTGCCTTCCTGGGCTGTTGCCATTGTCAGGAAAAGAACATACCCTCCTAAATAGATCACTGTCCCGGAAGAATGAGAAACATGGGAGACAGAACCAAACAGAACAGACCTGTGGCTGAGGCACCTGTGGCTCTAGGTGAACTAGTGCCTCCCTAGTTGATCTGCAGATGCTGGATTGAGCAATAAATGCTTATGACTGTGTGCCACTCAGTTTTGAGTTGATTTCTAACACGGCATTAATTAGACTATATTGGACTAAGACAAGCCCTCTTCTCCCCAAGACATCCATGGAAATGAGCTCAGGATGGGTTGGAGTTATAACCAGTACCTAGTAATGACAAATTCTCTTCTGGGCACTGACTTAAACTTTCTGACTGGGTCAGGCTATTTGGGTTTGGTCCTTTCTTTTCTTAGGGTGAATTCTCTCAAAGGTCTAGACAGTGTAGACAGCATATTAAAAAGCAGAGACATTTGCCCACAAAGGTCTGTATAGTCAAAGTGATGGTTTTCCCAGTAGTCATGTATGGATGTGAGAGTTGGACCATAAACAAGGCTGACTGCCAAAGAATTGATGCTTTTGGACCATGATGCTGGAGAAGACTCTTGAGGGTCTCTTGGATAGCAAGGAGATCAAACTAGTCAATCCTAAAAGAAATCAACCCTGAATACTCACTGGAAGGACTGATGCTGAAGCTGAAGCTCCAATACTTTGGTTACCTGATGTGGAGAGCTGACTCATTGGAAAACACCCTGATGCTGAGAAAGATTGAGGGCACGAGGAGGAGACGACAGAGAATGAGATGGTTGGATGGCATCACTGACTCAATCAACATGAGTCTGAGCAAACTCTTGAGAGATAGTGGAGGACATGGAAGGCTCGTGTGCTGCATTCCATAGGGTTGCAAATAGTCTGAAAAGACTGAGTGAACAACAACTCTTAAAGGCTCTCATGTAAATGAACTTCATGAAGACCGTCTACTTGAGTCATGTGTAAACTCAAGCTGTGTATTCCTTTCTTGCAAACTTTAAATTTATTAATTCCCACAAGTGCTCAAAGCAGGGGCTGGCAAAGTTCTTCTGTAAGGATCATAAATAAATTAGATTTTGAGGACCACGTGGTTTCTGTCACTAGCTATCCAATTCTGCCATTGCAGCTCAGAAGCTAACAAATACAATAATAAATATCTGGGCAGAGTTGTGTTCCAATAAAACTTTATTTACAAATAAGGTTTGTAGACCCTTGGTCCACAGCAAAAGCGCTTCAGCTCTTCCTGCCACCAACAGATGGCGACTGCAGTTGTACTTGCTTGTCACTTGATTTGTTAGGGCTTGTTTACTGTGTTTGTTCTTAGAATGAAGGTGTTTTACAAACGTTGCTATCATCATGACCGATAAGTGGAGAAGCGGTGAGTGAGAATGCACTGAAAATGTCAGTTAGTAGAGACATATGGTTACGATGGAAACCAAAGTGGAATAATAATTTCAAAAATTGAAAGTGGTGAGAAAATAGATGTTGCAAGTGAAAATGGGATATATATTGTTTTGACAGTAACATGATTGTGAAGGAACCAAGAGTGAATCAGGCAACTGGCAAAAAAAAAAAAAAAAATGCTGTGCCCATGCCATTGACAACAATCGGTAAAATATGAGAAGCAACTGACTAAAATCAAAAAGGAGGAAAAATCTTGGAGCATCTGGCTAGAGAGGAGTGGCATCAAGGGAGGCTCATTAGCCTCATGTGAGTCCAGGAGATGCCTAGGAGTCTGTTTGAGAACTTGGTCCCAGTAGAAGTCCTACCACTGGTGTGAGCCATGGATGATTGCATAGGTTCAGAGCCCCTAATGTCTCCCTTGGGCCAAAAATGATGTTGATACTATAGTTGCTAAGGGCTTCTCTTGTAAAGATCTTGCAGGAGGTCTTTGCCTGCTTCAACAGATTTTCAAAGCGGGCGAACTAGGGATAATTTGGAAAAAGAAAGCAGGTAGAGCAAAAGAGAAGATTGTGTGAAGTGTCAACTCGCTCTTCCGTTTTGTGGAAAATGTGCCTCGGGATTACAAGCTTAACCTTCCCTGGTTCTTTGGATGTACAAACAAATGGCCTTACCAACAGCTGTTTGGAAAGGAACTTATTGTTGACAATCACATACACACATTCTGGCGTGCGCGCACACACACACACACAGACACACACATAGCCATAAAAGAGGGTGGGGAAATGGACAGAATCTGTTGCTTTTGCAGAACACAGTCTTTAGATTGGGAGAGGGATGGGGAGGCTCTCGGTTCAGTCCCTGCTCCTCACTCAGGGGAAGGAAGGAGGATTAAGGAGAAAATTTGCAGATGGAAAGCCATGATAGAGTGGAATGGATGGAGTTTTGCAGTCTGCTAGACTTGGTTTAGGACTTCAGTTTCACTTTTCACTTTCATGCACTGTAGAAGGAAATGGCAACCCACTCCAGTGTTCTTGCCTGGAGAATCCCAGGGACAGCAGAACCTGGTGGGCTGCCATCTATGGGGTCGCACAGAGTCGGACACAACTGAAGTGACTTAGCAGTAGCAGCAGCAGACTTGGTTTGGTGTCTGAATGTGCCCCTTACTTACTGTGTGACCCTGGGTGCCACTGTGAGAGAAGCTTCCCTCTCCTTAAAGGCAATGAAAGATAAATGAATTCCTGGGGAAAAATAGAGGACTCCTGTGCTTTAAAAAGCAGAGGGAGAATCTGTGAAGAGCCTAGCCCTCATTGTATTGACTAATGATGTGAAGAACAGACTCACTGGAAAAGACCCAAGGTGGGAGGAGAAGGGGATGACAGAGGATGAGCTGGTTGGATGGACATGAGTTTGAGTAAGCTCCGGGAGTTGGTGATGGACAGGGAGCCTTGACGTGCTGCAGTCCATGGGGTTGCAAAGAATCAGACACAACTGAGCGACTGAACTGAACTGAACTGAAAAGAGGAGAAATCAAGTTATTAGGGGAAACACACTGGTTGAGACTGCCCACCCTGGCCAGGCACCCTAGTAACCATTTGCATGAGTTATTTTATGACAGGAGGTCCCAGTAAGGAACATGGAACTAATAAGCCATCACCAACTGGAAGAATTCAGGAAAGGAGAGGTGACGTGTCCCACCACCTCCCAGAATCCTCCTCTCTGGAATCCATCTTGCCTGAACAATGCATGCACTTCCAGGAAGGACCCAGAGTCAGAATGATTGGCCAGAGACAACCTGGAAGCTAATCCCAGCACCGTAAAACCTTAGACTTTGGGCCACGTGACAGAGCAGTTCTTCTGGTTTCCTTTATCCTCCTGCTCTCTGCCTGGAAGCCCCTTCCTAATAAAGTCTCTTGCTTTAACAGCACGTGTATCTCCTCAGACAATTCATTTCTGAGTGTTAGGTAAGAGCCCCCTTTTGGGTCTGGAAGGGGTCCCTCTTTCTGCAACAAAGGTGTTACAGTAACATCTCAGATTCTAGGTTGAGATGGTAAAGGATAGAAAAAAATGTGAACTGAAAAAATCAAGTGAATTAAAAAGCAAATCTAAAGAACTATGGTGGGATTTCCAGGTGGCTCAGTGGTAATGAATCTGCCTGCCAATGCAGGGGACTCGGATTCGATCCTGGGTCAGGAGGGTCCGCTGGAGAAGGGATGGTAACCCACTCTGGTGTTCTTGCCTGGGAAATCCCATGGGGGGAGGAGCCTGGCGGGCTATAGTCCATGGGGTCACAAAAGAGTTGGACATGACTGAGCAACTGAACAACAAGAAAGAACTATGAGGTGGGAAAGGAGTGAGGTTGGGTTGATTCACACACAGAACATGAGGTGGAGTGAGAATGGGGATGGGGTACCAGACTGGGAGGTGGTGGTGATGACTTGGGGGATGGAGGGTCTACCTCTTTTATCTCAGGCTCAAGCAGCCGTATTAGCTAAGGTTCTCTTGGTTGGAAGTAAAAGAAACCAATTTGAAGTAGCTTATTGGAAATATATTCAAAGGTCTCACAGAAGTCAGTTGAGAGAAGGATGTAGCAGTAAGAATTCTTGGGCTTCCTTTCCTCTAGGGCAGAGATTCTCTAACTTTAGTTAGCATCAGAATCACCACCTGGTACACTTGTTGGGCCCAATGCCCAGCAAGAATTTGCATTTCTCACCTGATCTCAGGTGATACAGCCCTTGGCCCAAGAGTACCTCACCACTCTTAGCTTGACTCAGCTTTCCACTCTCAGCTCTGATCCTCAGTTCACATTTTTGAGTGGAAAATGGATTGGCTCATGTTGGTCACGTGTCCTTCTCTTCCAATCATTGATGGCCAGGGGGTGGAGCCACATAGCACATGGTACAGTGGCTATCTGAGGGCCATTCTAGTGCATCAGGAACAGTTCAGAGATAAGTAGGACTTGGTGGATGTAGGTGTCTGTGATTCTACTCCTTTTAACTGGTGCAGCCGGTTGTCTGAGTCTGAAGCTCTGGAGTGTCTTCTGTAGTGTTTGTCTTTAAGCTCCACTCTATCCCTTGGAATTCTCCCTACTAAAATTAGCCTTCAAGTGGGCCATTGTCTTCCCGTCTCTTAAAACAGATAAGTAGGGCTTTTACATTTTAAAGTTTTACTGCTAATTCCTACCAGGAACTTGGGAGAGGTTA